ATGTTGAAAAGTATGGTTTAATTTACAAAATGCACCTTCCTGGTTTCATAGTTGTAAACTTAGCTGATCCTGCTGAAGTCGAAAGAGTTCTCCGAAATGAACCAAAATTCCCACAACGCTTTGACATCCCTGCTCTCAATTACTATCGAGAACTCCGGAAAAAAGACCCTGGAGTCTTCTTTGCCAACGGAGAGGATTGGTACAGATATCGTAGCACTGTCAGTAAACGTATCTTAAAACCACTAGAAGTTGCCGAGCATATACCTGTCTTTAACGACATCATAACCGAATTCGTAACTCGACTTGAATCCATTCGRGTATCTGCAGGAACTGACACTGAATATGAAGTCAAAAATCTCGATAACGAGTTATTCAAATGGTCTTTTGAGTCAGTTGCCCATGTGCTGTTTGATCGACGATTTGGATGCCTTGGTAACGAAGTCAACCCCCAAGCTCAAGATTTTATCAATTCTGTTGGAGGGTTTCTAGAATCTRYAATGTCGATCGCKCTGTTRCCCGTTTGGCTCTACAAGATTTATGAGACAAARGATTTCAGGAACTTTGTGTTTCATTACGACAATTTGTACAAGTATGCGGAGCTTTTTGTCAACGAAAAAGTCAAAGAGATTGAGAGTAAAAGTTCACTGGGAGAAGAAGCAGAGGAGGGTCTAGAAGAGAAGGCAGGTTTTGTGGAGTATCTTTTATTTCAGTGTAAACTCTCCAAAGAAGATTTGATGGCAAGCATCATTGACTTGTTCTTTGCTGGGGTAGATACCACATCAAATACAATGCAGTGGTTTTTGTACATGATGGCCAAAAATCAAGACAAGCAACAGAGGCTTTTCCAGGAAATAACCCAAGTACTAAAAGATGGTGAACTGCCAAGTTATAAGACCCTTGGCAAAATGCCTTACTTGAAAGCCTGCTTCAAGGAAACACTACGAATDTATCCAGTGCTGGCTCAAACAAGCCGTATCATACCTTCAGATATGGACATTCTGGGGTATCAGATACCAAAGGGWACACARGTTCAATTCTTTCACTACTTCATGGGTAGAAGTGAGAAGTACTTCACAAACCCAAATGATTTTATCCCGGAAAGATGGCTTAGAGATGGTAAAAGAGACACACCTGACTCAATCCAGGCCTTTGCTTCSATTCCATTTGGGTTTGGTACAAGAATGTGTGCTGGTCGACGTATAGCTGAGTTAGAGCTCTACCTACTGGCAACAAGATTGGTCCAGAAGTACAAACTTCAATACCCTGATAATGAAATTGTGGAGCCATTCATGAGGGGAGTTACTATTCCAGACAGACCAGTCAGAGTCAAATTCACAACAAGACTATAGATGGATTGAAAATCATTTTGAGTCACATATATATAAGACAAATTGATTGAATAATTTTATGCACCACAAGTTTGCCAAAATGTTTTGTTTTGTTTTGTTTTCTTTGTTTTTTTATTTCACAGCAAGCTGCAGTTGAATCCCYTGTTATTCTATCTACTCCACTTAAATTACCACATAAGACTGAGACAAAAACATATAAAGTTAAGTAATATCAAATCTTACATAGCTGAACAATTGAGTTAACTTTTTGTCCACTATTTGTATGTAAATCATGAAGATATATTAAACAGCTTCACTTACAAAAGTTGATTGCTAGTCCAAAAATTATCCCTTTTCCATCCTGTTTTGAAATTGGGCTTCTTAGAAATGGTTGTAGGATACTTGCTTTTAGAAACACA